CCCCCCCCCCTGCGCGTAGTCTGCAATGTTTATATACAGTAGCATTAAAGTCAAAAATGGCTGATAAATTAAATACTGTTTCTGAACGTTGCCGAATACTTTGGCTTCTCCTTTTCGGTGATTTTCCGTCGCTATGAAGTTCACATATTCATGAATCTAGATTTTATTTGTTTCCCACCCTTTAATATGCGGCTTAAAAGGAGGCTTGTTAGCCTAGCCTTCATAATTGTCAATATTATCATTATACTTTTTCTTTTAAAGTCTTTGGTCCAACAGTTAAAAACAGATACACCTAAAACTGATCAACCTATTCTGATGAAAAACTACTCAAACTTTGAATCTCTCATCACTGTGATCATACGTGACTTTGAACACTTTGAACATGATGTTGTTGAAACAGTGAATTCCTTTTTAAAGACTGCACCATCATTGAGAATTCTCATAGTCAGCAACTCGCTTCCATACCCACCCCTGCAGTGGAAGTCTGTAAATTATACTTCAGTAAAAGTGATTAATTTAAAGCTTGAAGTTGGAGGAGTGAAAGAGGATCGTGATGTATTGTACCATATTCAGACTAAATATGCTTTATTTGTACCTGATTCTGTTCGTCCTACTGCAAGAGAATCATTCATCACTTTACTGAAAAGTTTAGACGAACCGAATGTCAACATTCTTGCTGCTCCTGTTTCTGAGGTATGATCGTGAGATATTTTTGGTCCTTGACAATAAACTTGGATACAATATATTTGATCATGGTTTCAGATTTCACTGTCATCTTGCCAAAGTATGGACCTCCATTTAGTTAAGTGGACATTAACATATAGTACATCGCCAAGTGAATTGTTTTGTGATGGTGTGACTGGGAAGCATGTTCTACTTATTGGAAAGGATGTACTATCAAAGCTACCTGACCCATTAATGTTGCCATTTCCGGATTCTCTTTACATACAAGCCAAAGCCAAAAACATAAAAGTATGTGTTTGAAAAGTTTTATAAAAAAAGTCCACATCTTTAAAATCTTTTCATTTAGCATTTTGTTGCTATTGATGTTTTAGACTAGATACCTTCGCACTGTTGTCTGGGCCTCTGGACATCCTATTCTACAATCGCAACACCATCTGTGGAAGGCTCATCGTCTTCGTCATGAGCGGCAACAACGCATGTATGAGAGATTGGCTATCAAGCGGGTTATCAGAGATGGAAAGGATGAATGGTGAGGCGTCCAACCCAAGTATTTTAGTTAGAAAATAGTGTGAATATTCATGTCTTTAAAATTCAATTATTTTCATTCTCTGAAGGTATGGTTGCACCAGAGATTCGGCGCGCTGTTTCGGAACTGTTGTGGGGGATACCCCATCTTACCTGCTTGAGGGAAAATGGACACCACCTTGTTGCCTTAATGCCCTCAGAACCACAGCTAGACATGTTTTCAAAGAACTTCAAGCTGCAGGTGTTAGGTGAGTATTCTGGACAATCGTGAATGATGCTTGATTTATTTATGACTACTGTTTACTGATTAGGCTTTTACTTCAAATCCCACAGATATTGGCTTGAAGGGGGATCTTTGCTTGGTGCCATGCGATCCTTTGATATCCTGCCATGGGATTATGATGTTGACTTAGGCTTCATGAGGGAGGACTTACCCAAACTGACGTGGTTGTTAAGAGCAAGCAAACAGCCTGTGGTAGACACACAAGGTTTTGTGTGGGAGAAAGCACCTGAAGGAGATTTTTATCGAGTGCAGTTTAGTCGATCAAACAGATTGCATGTTGATCTATTCCCATTTTACAACAAAAATGGAACAATGACCAAGGATACCTGGTTTCCCACACACAAGCAAGACAGAGAATTTCCAGCACATTATTTGAACCCCTTGGCCACAATCCCTTTTGTTGGTCAAAATGTATCTGCTCCTAATAATATACGTGAGTTTCTAGAATTGAAATTTGGAAGTGGTGTCATTGAAAATCCTGCTTACCCAAACCCAACTCTTTTAAAATTTCCTGTTGAAATGGTACCCACAACTAAACCTGCACCAGATTGGGAGTACTGAATTTTCAATGAAACATGTGTTTTTTTTTTTAAGGTACACTCTCTGATTTACTAATTGTTAGTCATAGCACTGGTCATAGTGTTTAGATTTCTGTAGGAAATCTTTCTTTTTAACTACCCTAGTTCTAGTAATTCATAAACAACCTAACTAGGATCTCTGACTGTTTCATTGTTTGTAGTGTTACATGACATGTGTTCTGGAAATAAATAACATAAACATTTTCTCACAGTATTAAATAGGTGTATTCTACTGTGGTAGGTTTTAAGTACACCATAAGGAATTAGTATATCTGTGCCATAGATACTGTTCTCGCCTGTGATAGTTTATGCTGCTGACACAAATTTCGTCATGTCCTTTCTAATCTTCTCTTTTTTAAATATAGCAAAACAAATTTTCCTATGAGATTGTTGATAATAAGAATGTATGTAAGAAAGAAAAGAAAATGTGTAAATAAAACTAAAGAAATTTGTTTATAGTTGATTTAATTATGTAACTGAATTGTAAAATACCTGTGTCAGTCAAAACATACTCAACTTTGGTTAACATCACGATAATCACTCGTAAGGATAACAATTTTCGGACTAGACACCTTAAAGTGAGGAAGACAAAACATCAATCTGTCAATTTTACTACTATTGAAAGGAGTAAAAAGATAAAAAATGTCTGGGACAACTTGGGTTTCACAATATGGGAATTTTCACTGAGTTACCAAACCTTCTGATAACTTTGAGTTTAGGTAGTTACATCAGCATATATAGAAACCAAAGATGAGAATTGAAGTTTTACAACACTTTCTACCATGCATGATCCTCAAGCTATACACCCTACCTACACAAAACTACCTAACCAAACAGTTTTCAATAAAAGCCCTCAAAAATACTAAAAAGGCTACTAAAATAGTTTTCTCAAAATTTTAAAGAGGGACGGCTCCCATTATTATGATGTCTTCAGGGATCTTTTTATTCTATAAAATGAATGTTTGGTTCACATGACCAAATCTAAGGACACTCAGCGTTTTGAGCACACTACAGACTAGAGTACCAAGAATAGAATAGTTACAAAAGGGTAAAGAGAAAGAGAAGAAGAGAGAAAAGTATGCAAAAAGTTTAATTATAATCTAAAGTATAGTTGTGCTTCTATTTGTTTTCACAGCCCTATAAAAAGAAATATTTTTAAAAACATGGAATAGTTATTGTCTCAAGACATCTTAAGAAGAGTAGGTATAAAATCATGAAGTTATAGAAAAAAGATATATAAGTCAAAATGCCTATGGTACAGAGACATCTTAAAAAGTCAATGCTACTTAGTCAAGCAATGTAGAAATTATTGTGTCAAATATGTAAGCTAACAGAAAGATCTACAGTAACGAAAGCATGATGATTTAAAGATCTAAAACTAGGCTTGGAAGGCACTGATGCAGTACGAGTTCAACCCTACAGTCTTCACAAGAAAATAAAGGAAAGAAAAGATAGGGAGATGAGCCAGAACTTTCACTGATATGACTGATGAACACAACAATTTTAAAATTGAGTGCTTGTTTGCAAATGGAAAATTGCATGAACTAATTCACAATTTTCTCATATTAGCAACTGAGATTTCTAAGTTACTTTGAGAAGTTGGGAAATTATTTCTTTCAAAACATACATTAGAACCCCCTTATGACGATTTCAACTAAAACGTCTTTCCGCTTGAAGCATCAGATTTTCTAAGCTCACATCAGTCAGATTATATGGGGAAAAATTTAATTTATCTTGTTTTCCCGAAATACACAACATAAGTTGTGACAAAAGCAGAAACATTGGGTCTACTGTATCCATATTTGCATGACATGCATTCTTTTATATTAGTACAAATGTAGGAAAATTTAAAACAAAATGACAGTTAAAATTTTCTAATGAGATCTTTCAGTTCCTACACTTCTGATCCTTCCATGAAGTACATCTCATGCAGAAATACGAATTTCTACTCATTCTTTTATCACTATATTGTTACAAACAAGTATTTCTGATCTCTAATATTTAGTTCTATGTACATTTCTTTTAGTTCTTCCTCCAAAGAAATGGATCTCTAACTGAACACCAACTGAGTATCATGACCATGTAAACCTGAACAATCAAAATACTTGTTTCTAAAGAGTATCACATAAACAAGATGGACTGCATAACAGATATGACTACTACAATCTAAATAATGAGATCTTAATTCTGGCGTCGGGCTTTTAAACCCCAATACAACTCTAACAGACTAAAAAATTCAGCAAGTACCCAACACTAAAAATTAACAGAATATCTGTTGATAAAAAAACCTAAAACAGATTTGAATAAAATATCTAAAATTTGCAACAGCTTACAATTATTTAACAATTCTGAGCTGCTAAAGCTACTAAATGAAAGGGAAGTTTTTGACAATGCTAGAACAGAAACTGAAAAAACGATATTGCAGCCTGAATATCTTGGCAGTCAATACCAGTAACAATAAAGTGTGTTTTTGAAGGACGGTACTTCAAATAACGAAGTAGATAGATATTCTAAAAAATAGTCTAAAGATGATCATTGATGTCTGCAACAAGAAAGGTCAAAAGAATCCTGGTTTTCTCACATTGCTTTATGGCCATGGTAGAATATTAAATATTTAAATTTGCCACTCAATGTAATCTACAAGCTGCAGGCCGACTTCCTAAACGATTTTCAGTGGCATGAACAATTTTTTCATATAGTCTTGCATTAACTTCCTCATGTGGCTGTCGCCATGCAATTGATTCAGCATGCTTCCGGCCAGGTCTTTTCATTCCAGGAGTGTGAACTAGAAATCCTCCATCCAGTATCACAAAACGATATCCCAACAGACACATTGCATGCATCTGAAAAATAATTTTATACAAAAAAAATTAACACATGAAATCAGTAGACAGGCTAAACAACAGTGAACAAAACTTGGTGACCTTACCTGAGTCATTTTATCTTGCCTGCCCTCCCAACTAAGATATTCACTGTAAAGAGGTTCATTTCTTGTTCCTATGTAAATAGGCTCCCATCTGTGATGTGGAAACTCTCTGCGTACAACCAGTAGGGGCTGATAATACATCAAGACCAATTAATATGTAATTCACAGTTCATTGATAAAATTGAAGAAAGTAAAATAAGGAAATACCTTGAGTGGTGAGGGGTTGGCAATCACATTAGGACTAACCGGGAATGGTGTTCCTTTTTTCCGTTGTAACCACCTCTCTAGCCCTGGAAACCGCTGACAGTGAAGACACACCCAACGATGAAAATAAATGGCTTGGCCTTCACTGTACAAATGCTGAAGTTCTTCCTTGGTAGTTGGAATATTATGGACTCTTGCTTCAATTTCAAAAACAGGAAGAACAAAAACATGCCGAGCAGGAGTACTTATCGCAGGCATGTACTTTTTCAAGAGGAGGCGGAATGAGGGCACCAGATTCAGACTGGGCAATAGTTCAACATCAGACACTAGAACATGGCTTGTCTGGGCAGCCTCCCTTGCAACATTTCGAGCAACATTCACTGGGTATGTAAGGCCACTTTCTTCACGAAATGTTCTTAATGTACCATTTAGGACAGCTTCTGGACAAGAACAGTCAGCAGGAAATTTTATCAAGGCATCTATGGATTCCAGGCTACTAAATGACATTTGAGAAGCTTTAGGAAAGACAGGCGGAGATGCCTCAGGAAAAACAAAGTGTACAGACACTCTTGACATCTCAGGAATACATTGACACATTCTTTGGAAAAGTAAGAGACTCAAAGTTGCATCATAATCAGGAACATAAGCAGCTATGCTCACAGGTCCATCCCATCGTCGTACAATTTCCAAGATATTGCACTGGAAAGAAGGTGTGACATGTGTACAGTAGGTCACATCAGGTTCAGAATCTTCATTCTTCTTCATGTTCTCAATGACATTATAAATGACTCGGTATGGGCCTTTCTTTTTGAGTTCTGGGCTCACTGATATCGTTACATTGTCCCAGTCAAAAGACTCAATGGTTCCATACTTGAACCAGCAGTAACTTTCATTGTGAGGGTATTCCCCTTTGAGAAAGGAACCTGGAGCGAAAGGTTGGGACTCGGTTTCACGGCGGATATGAGTGCGGGGTAGAGAGACAAGTTCTCGAACTGGTCGTCTTGAGTGGCCATTGATTTTAGAAAGAAGATTGGTCACTATCGATCTCTCAGGACCGACAAAAATGTTGACTAAAAGAAGGTAAAAGACTAGAAAGAGGACAAGCACGAAAACTTTGAAACGAAACGCTTTCACTCCGTGCAATCTTCTCTGGAGCTTCATTATTCATCAGTGAAAACAAAGGGACAGGTTACGTACGGGGCACCTTCTTCAACACAGCGCTCGCGCTCATTTCATCCGTTTTCAGTATGAGTCTCAAATCGATTCGTCGTCATTTTTTTCTCTGCCGTCCGAGGCCCAAACTCTTGAAGAAACATCGATGTTGTCTGTTGGAATAGACATTTAGTACGACTCAAGCAACACTTAAAAAATATCTTCTGCTACTGAAATGTCAATACAGTGAAAACACCCACACCAACAGTTACAAGAAAAATCACTACTTTTAAAAAGAGTGTATGTGGACATATTATCCTTTTTGAAAGGCATTTAGGCGAAAGTTAAGCCTTTAAATATGGGTTTTAATTTATAGAGCCATAAAGTAATCCCCATAAAATGATCTTCCGTTGATACTGGAAATAAGTATTGGGGAAAATTAAGTTTGTTATGTTGAGGGCAGAGAAAAAAAAAGGGTTTGTGTAGTGGATTTCATTTCTACATCCACGTACGTCTCTTGACATCATCAGTTCCAACTTAGTTTTCTGGGAGAAAATGAAGCTTTTAGGGTTAATATTTGTATTTATTTACGGTATTTTACTTATACAACAGACAGATGGACAGCGCAGCCGTAAGGAGGTAAGGCCTGCCCATTCTATTCTATTCAGAACTCTGTTTAACCGGTATTATAGGTTACACACACCGCATCAACCCCCTTATGTTTACGTATATATGGTACATTTAGAAGTCCCTTGCAAAAATGGTGAATTCTACAGAAAATTTTGTTATCTTTTCTATTTACTTTAGTAAGTCCTTTATATAAATTAAACTTTACTGCAAATCAATTAATTTTTCTACATTGATTTCAGGGTGGACAAACGTCTTCTCTTAATGAAAGGGTGCAGCAGTTGATAGAAATGTCTAACAAGCGTTCATTAATGCGCTTTAATGGAAACAAATTTAGGGATTTTGTGAAGGCAACTCCTCGGAACTATTCTGTTGTAGTTATGTTCACTGCGTTGGCTCCACAACGCCAGTGTTCAATTTGCAGGTAACTATATCAGTCTTATACTAAGTAAACTCTGTTACCATGGCACTGCATGTATTGTGTACTCTTAATTTGTTTCAGACATGCTCATGATGAGTTCCACATCCTGGCTAATTCATTTCGCTATGCTCATATGACTTCAAGCCGCTTATTCTTTGCAATGGTAGATTTCGATGAAGGCTCAGACATCTTCCAAATGGTAATCTAACACCTCACATTGTGGCTGTGCTTCTTGTTGACTTGGGATTCTATTCTTAACATTTGTGTTCTGTTTACACAGATGCGTCTCAACACCGCCCCAGTGTTTATTCATTTTCCTCCCAAAGGCAAACCAAAAGCAGCAGACACACTTGACATTCAGCGAGTAGGATTTAGTGCTGATGCTATTGGAAAGTGGATTTCAGAGAGGACAGATGTTGCTGTATGTTTGTTTTAGTTATGTGCTCTTTATGTGAAATAACTATTTTGATCACTAATGTTTTTCTTTTCTTTCAGATACGTATCTTCCGTCCGCCCAATTATTCAGGAACTATGGCTTGCGTCCTATTAATCGTTCTTGTTGCAACTTTCTTCTATGTCAGACGAAACAACCTTGACTTTATGTACAATAAAACAGGATGGGGTCTGATGGCTTTGGTAAGTATTGCTGAGCTAACTACTGTATTTTGAAAACTGATAATGACTGATTTAAATTATGTCCTCATATTCTAGCTGTTCTGCTTTACTATGGTCTCTGGTCAAATGTGGAATCACATTAGAGGACCACCATTTGTGCACAAGACATCCTCTGGGGGTGTAGCCTACATTCATGGGTCGTCCCAGGGACAATTTGTTCTTGAAACATATATCGTCTTCTTCTTAAATGCTGCTGTTACCTTAGGCATGATTTTAATAACTGAAGGAGCAGCTAACCGTGGCGACGTTAAGAAGAGACGTATTGTTGTTATCCTTGGGCTTGGTCTCTTTGTTGTTTTCTTCAGTCTTATTCTATCAATATTCAGAGGCAAAGCACATGGTTACCCTTACAGGTATGTTTTCCCCAAAGAGAACTCTTCAATAGCATTATTGTGAGTAATTGATTAACCACATTAATTCTTCTTTGTTTCAGCTTCCTTTTCAAGTAATTATACAAGCCATGTGAACTGATGAAAATATAAATGTTGAAGATATTTTGCCAAGGACATGTGCAATTTTACTGTATGAACTTACCTAGTTTTGAATTTTGTAATCTTGTTAGGTAGATTTGTTTTTGTATATTTTGGTTATATCCTCTTATTATTTTAGATAAGGGGCAGCATTACCTTGCACTTTGTGTGATTGTGATAAAACACT